CACGTTTTTAAAACATCATACAATCTGAACCGTGCTGTAGATTCCTCCGTGATTTGCTTTTTTTTTTTTAAATACGTTTTAAGATTCATCCTGACACGAGCGGCTGTACTTCGTTAGCTTTTCACTACAGAATCGTGTTCCCTGATGTGAACGTACTTAACCTAGGCACCTGGCGCTGCGGACGGCCCTTCTGTCTTTCCACACAGGACGCAGCGACCAGCGACGTGACGCCCGGGCCCCTGGAGCGCGCGGGCAAGTGCGTGTGAGGATTCTGGCTGCTCCAAACCCTGACACTTGATCCCGTCAGACTCGGACATTTCTGCCAGACGGTGCGGGCGGGACCCGATCGACGTCCTCGTGGCTCGCCTTTCCTTGACCACGAACGAAGCTGGGCCCCCCTGGGTATCCTACTGGCTATTTCCCCTTCCGCTTCTGTGAAGTGCCTGCTGGGCTCTTCTGCCTGTTTCCCCGTTTTGCCCGTTTTTGTTGTTCGGGTATTCTCGACACCAACCCTTCTGTGACGGTTACGTGTACGTGGGCAGGGATCTTCTTCTGGCCCATCTTGTACTCCTCGTGACACCTTTTCAAATAACTCCAGTTCTTAATTTCTAAGTAAATATTAAGGTTTTTTTTTCTCCCCTCGTGGTTTACGCTTTACATTTTTATTGTTTAAAAATCTTTCTCCTGGGGCGCCTGGGTGGCGCAGTCGGTTGAGCGTCCGACTTCAGCCAGGTCACGATCTCGCGGTCCGGGAGTTCGAGCCCCACGTCAGGCTCTGGGCTGATGGCTCGGAGCCTAGAGCCTGTTTCCGATTCTGTGTCTCCCTCTCTCTCTGCCCCTCCCCCGTTCATGCTCTGTCTCTCTCTGTCCCAAAAAAATAAATAAACGTTGAAAAAAAAAAAAATTTAAAAATCTTTCTCCTAAAATCATCCAATCACAAAAAAACAAAAAGCAAAAAAAAAAAAAAACCTGTGATGCCCCCGACAGGAGGTCCCTAGAGAAGGTCAAAATCACAGGGACAGGGAGTAGGGCGCGGCTGCCTGGAGCCAAGAGATGAGAGCGTTTAATGGGAACGGAGTTTCAGGGTTCCAAGACAGGAAGAGTTCTAGGGATAGATGAAGGAGACGGTTGGCTGCACAACCACGTGAAGGGATTTAACATCACTGAACTGAACATTCAAAAATGGTTAAGGGGCGCCTGGGTGGCTCAGTCGAGCGTCCGACTCTCAATTTTGACTTGGGTCACCATCCCAGGGTCGTGGGATGAAGCCCCAGGTCGGGCTCGGTGCTGAGTGGAGCTTGCTCGGGATGCTCTCTCTCCCACTGCCCCTCTCCCACACGCACTCTCTCTCTAAAATGTATATATATTAATAAAGGCCCAAGTGGCAAATTTTATGTTCTATGTATTTTTTTTTTTAATTTTTTTTTTCAACGTTTATTTATTTTTTGGGGGACAGAGAGAGACAGAGCATGAACAGGGGAGGGGCAGAGAGAGAGGGAGACACAGAATCAGAAACAGGCTCCAGGCTCTGAGCCATCAGCCCAGAGCCTGACGCGGGGCTCGAACTCCCAGACCGCGAGATCGTGACCTGGCTGAAGTCGGACGCTTAACCGACTGCGCCACCCAGGCGCCCCTGTTCTATGTATTTTAATGCAATTAAAAAAAGGAAAAAAATTTTTCTCTGCTACAAAGTCACAAACATAATTTCCTTAACTTTGTTCTGAAATGTCCTATCCGTTAACGCAGCTGTTATGGACTGCGCTGCGTCCCCCCCCCAAATTCCTATGTTGAAACCCTGCCCCCAGTATGACTGTGTTTGGAGACAGGGCCTTTAAGGAGATGGTCATGGTCAGAGGTCATAAGGATGAGGCCCTAATCCAGCAGGTTGGTATCCTTGTAGAGAGAGAACGACACCCCAAGGACGCAGGCACACAGGGAAAAGGCCACGAGAGGCCACGGTGAGAAGACGGCCACCGACAAGCCTCAGGAGCAGCCAAAACTCTCGAACACCCTCCCGAAATTTCAGACTCCAGGACTTTGAGAAATAAATTTCTGTTGCTTAAACTACCTTGTCTGTGGCATTTTGTCACGGCAGCTCTAGCTGCCTAAAACAACAGTGTACCTGTCTTCTTTAATGTCTTTTGAAAACAGACTAGGATCTTCCCCGTACAGATCTTTTTTTTTTCTAATGTTTATTTTTGAGGGAGACGGAGTGCAAGCGGGGGAGGGGCAGAGAGAGAGGGAGACACAGAATCCGAAGCAGGCTCCAGGCTCTGAGCTGTCAGCACAGAGCCCGACGCGGGGCTCGAACTCAGGGACCGCGAGATCGTGACCTGAGACGAAGTCGGACACTTAACCGACTGAGCCCCCCAGGCGCCCCTCTCCTCCAAATCTTACACATCATTTACTCCTTTTTATTTTGTTGCTATCCTCCTTATCTGTTACCCGTTTAGAAGAGATGGAAACCATCTGTTTAGCAAGCTGTCTATTGCTTGCCCGTATTACTTCACCACCTGTAACGCCTTCATAAACAGTATCTTTTTTTAACATATCTTCTATCTCTTGCTGGGGTACAGAAACACGACCGGCTTTCCTCTGGTCATCTCATATCACCAACCTCACTACAGCCTGCCTGACCTGCCCGCATTTCCCACCGAGGCCACTTTGGGCAACAGCACGGATGCCCTCCGTCCAGAGGTCAGCGCTCATCCCGGATACCCTAATTCCCCATAGCATTTGTCACAGGTGCCTCCTGTCAAGAACCTCTTGGCACGTGGCTTCCGGGACAACACCCCGTCCTCCCGGTCTTCCTCACGCGCTCTCCTCCTCGGGCTCCCCTCCTTCATCCACACTCACCGTCCTGGGGACTCTACCCACTCCTACGGCTTTTGACTCGCGTCTACGTACTTACTGACTTCTGCATCTATGCCTCCAGCCTCAGCCTCTCTCTTGACGTTCAAGTTCTTGCATCCAACTGCCCGTTCGGTGTCCAACACGTCTAATAAAAAGGCACCTCAAACACAGCCAAAACCGAACCCTTGGGTCGTCTCCCCCAAACCTGTCCTCCCCTAGCCCTTCCCATCTCAGGAACGGCCCTCCCTGCTCCTTAACTCAGTCAACGGCCAGCTGTTCAAGTCAAGGTTCCTAGGGGTCGTCCTTAACCTCTCACACCCACTCGCGATCTCGCATGCAATCGATCCATCAGCCAACACTGTCAATTCCACCCTCAAGATGCACTCCACACACAGCGGCTTCTCCTGGTCTCCACGGTCCCCAGCGGGCCACCATCCCACCTGGTCTTCCTCCGACAGAACCGCACCGGCTAAACCTACCGCGAGAGCAAGCCCCCGCCTGACGTGGCCTCTGCCCACCTCCTTCCCTGTCACTCTCCCCGTGGCTCACGCCACACGGGCCTCACCCAACTTCCTGAGCGAGCCCAGTCGCTCCTGCCTCAGCGCCTCGGGTACCGGGTGCTCCCTCACCTCGGAACCGTGCCCTAGGATGTCGCTGAGGCTCACTTCATTTCGTCTCAACCGTCACCTCCTCAGGGAGGCCCTCCCTGCCCAGCCGACTGAAAACGGGAGTGCTCCTTTACTCCTGATCTCCCCACCGCCTCGCCTTTTCCTCTCTCTCCTCTCCTCACGGCGGTTCTCACCGCCAGATGTTGTTCTGCCCTCTCTCATCTCCTCTCACTAGAACAAAAGTTTCACGAGGACAGACACTCCTGTGCTTTCAGCTGCCGTGTTCCCTGCTGGACGCTGGGCGCTTGGCAAGTTACTCGCCACGGAATGACACTAACATCCCGCGGCACCGTGAACTCTGTGAAGGCGCAGAGAGCAGCTCCGCCTCATTCCCGACGTCCCGCGGGGCGCAGGCCCTGGCATGTGGGGGGCACCTGCTGCTCCCGGACTCTCATCACCTCCCGACCCCCTCACTTTCACTGTGGATTCCAGCACCCAGCTTCCCGCCTTCCCTCTGCTCCTCCTCTCGTCTGCACTCTCGGGGACCTCTGCCTCCAAAGGACCCATCCAACCACTACCCCAGAGGTTTGCTGAACTCCTGACGGCTAACAACCGTTTCCCCAGCCTCTCCCCCCCTACCCTCCCC